ATACATTTGTTAATAGCTATGTTTTTATGTTTAGATAGGGAGGGAATTTTAATTGAATTATTTAATAGTATATTTCTGGGGGGCTGGAACAAATTAATTGGTTTTTAGTTATTTTTAATTACGGAAAATGCAATCGAGATATCGGATTAAACTCTCGGGGCCCCACTGTACTATAAAAAAAAATTGTGTTGTTCTGTCTGACACAGTACTTCCCTAGATTGAGTCTTACTTGCTGAACAGGGATTGGTCGATGTCTATTACTGATCACAGATCTGAGCACAAAAAATAAAAATAAAAACACAAATTAAACACAATACACGCAAATTTGTATCACCATCAAACCTGGTGACGTTAGTCTGGTATAAACCCATATTTAATGCATAGAATAAAAGAGTGTGAGTTGAGGGTTACCTTCATCAGTTACCTTCAGGTTGGAATCTTTAAATCAAGCCAGGGATCTTGATGTCGTCATGGACTCTGACCTGACTTAAAAAAGCCATAGTAAAACAGTTACTACGTGGGTCAAGACTTAGAGGACATACAATACAACAGGACTCATCAACTGGTCAATGAACGGTTGATAAAACTACTGTTTTATCAACCTAGTGCTGCTGTCTAGAAATTTTTTTAATTTAATATTAAATTTAAAAAACATATTTTTCCAGTGTAGAGGATTTCAATTTGATTTGAGCGTACATTAACATGAGCTACACGATCTACTGCTGACAACAGTGAGACCAAAGACTGCATACAGTGGAGTATTGTTGTAGCAGCAGCAGCAGCAGAGTCAGGACATGAGAGCTGAGCTCTTGGCTGCAGTGGCTGAGGAGTGACGGGAGATAGTCGACCTGTTGGCACCACAGACTGGAGTCCTGAGGTCCTGGGTCTGTCACTCTCTCACACTGGAGCCCACTCTTTAGAGCAGAGAGACCAGACATGGACAGTACTTTTGTTGGGGACATTTCTCATGGAAATAAATATCTGACTTTTGTTTTAAACGTAAAACATTCCGTTTGCCAGAAACCTGACAAGACTGTTGTAAAAATATGGTAGTGGGCTGTTTGTTCAAATGGGGGCCTTTTGTCCACAACGAACCACAACTGTTAAAGGTCAATGTGGTTGTAGAGCCATCGCTAGGACATGTTCAATTAATTCACTTTTTTAAATTGTCCATAAAAATCTTAAGAAGTCCTGAGTGCAGCAGCAGCAGCAGCAGCAGCAGCAGTGGTTGTTCTTGTTGTCTGCAGCAGAGCAGAGACAGCAGCTGGTTTATTTTTAGCTCTAAATCACCTCACAAATTCACACTCAGCTCTCAGCGCAAATACCTCACAGTCTCTTTATGTATTTCAGGAGGGAGATGAATTTGTTTCTGGACTGACAGACCGACCACCCCCTCATGGAAAAATGGACGAGTGATGTTTTCCTTTTTTTTGGATACCTAGAAATGAAAAGAAAAAGTGAATGATTTGATTTAACTTTGTATTATATTTTGTATTTTATGACAAAAGACAAAAAAAATAATTTAATATGTTTTAGTAATAGAATAAATTATATACAAAAGTAGTTGTATTTTAGATTCTAATTCATACTGATTAATTCTTCACCTTTTTTGCATTTAGGGAATGTTATTTACAGTCAACAACAGTTAAAAAGACTCATTACAAATTTTTTTAATCTTGGACAAATCATTAGTGTTAGAATAAACAGTATTTCTGTAGGTTCAGTTTCATTTTTTAAATGGAAAAATTCTTAGTTTTATAACTTTAATAAAAAACGGGTTTATTACTGTATGTTAATTACGCTATAAATACACACATACACACACATGCTGAGTGTGTGTGTGATTGTTAATCTACACATGATGTAACGTTTCAGAACTTGTACAGTCCACGGTCACATGCGTGGCCTTGTTTTGACTGTGTGACGGTGGACACAGGGACAAAGGGACAGGACTACGGAAAAGTGAGGTCAGCTCTTTGGCGACGCCTAAAGGTCATAATTGGGTATGGAATTATGTACAGTAAAAATCATTCAACACGACTCCTTAAAAAACAACAAAAGATGAGGAAAAATATGTTACCTTGTTTTAACACATCGTTTAAAAAATACACTTAAAATAATAAAATATAATGTACACGATGTTGTTTGCTTGCAGACATAGTATTCTGGGTAAGAGATAATCGTCATTGATGTAAACATTATCATGACGTTCGCTGTTTTGGAGCACGTTGACTGTATGTTTAATAAATAACAAATAAATTCTGCCCTCTTCTGGCCATCTTTTAGCTCTTTTCGTTATGCTTTACATATTTCTACTTTAGCTTTTGACCGACTTAGCTTTGACTGACGCAGCTAACTTCTGACTAGCTTTTGCTAAAATAAATGGTTTCACATAAACTCAAGCAAGGCCTTATTGGACTTGATTACATTTCATCTCTACAACTGAAAGCTATTTCTATTTCATTTCATTTTATTACGTTTTATTCATTTATTTTTTTGCAAATTTTTTGACAATTTATCTGGCTTTTTCATAGTTGTGTCTTGGCAAATGGTTAAATATTTTACTCAAATCTAACATGGGTCAGTTTGTCGTGTGAAATGTATTTGCATATATATAAAATATTTGCATTTCAGTGCAAACCACAGCAATTTTCTAATCCACTAAAACACACACACATACTCGTGCCCTCACCACCTCAGCCCCTGACTCTGTGGTTTTATTACCAAATGTCCACATTACTTCATATCATGTGATTCCAGGAGAATTTGGTTGCACATCACTGGCCTTAATCACCACCTATAGTCTACCCCACCAGCCTCACCCACATGACCCTGCTGAGGGCAGCGCTTCTTTTATGCCCTCTGAAAAAGCTGGGGATTCAGTCTGAACAAAGAAAAAAAAATAAAGCACAAGGGTGAAAAAATGTTTTTACACCCGCAGTGCTGCCTCACAGCGCCAGCCCGTGTCGCTGCACACAGACGGTTTTCAGCTTTGGATCAGTGAGTGGATGGGTTCCTGGAGTTTGGCCAAGACTGACAGACAGATAGACAGAAACTGGAATCCTAACTAGCTGTGTTGTCACAACTTTAACCTCTACCATATCACATAACAAAAAAAAAATTTAACAATACAATCTAAACAGAAAAAAACAATGGTCACACTTTATTGTCCTGTCTCCTTCCTGCACACCAAGGAACCACATCCACTTCCTGTCATGTGATCCTTAAGCCTCACATCTCCACATTTCTGACCACTGACCTCGTGCTGTGGAAAGCTGACGCCTCCTCCTGCCCCACTGTCTGTCATTTTCTAGATAAGGCTCGCTGCCTGGGTGTCATGTCCGCCTGACACCTTGTAAAAATGGGACATGTTGGAGATAGAGAAGGTCAGAACAGAGTGAAGAGGCTCCGAGGCTGCGCCAACGTTTGCACACCGTCCAGACTTTACACACTGGGACGCGGAGCGATGCCCTGATGCATTTGTGAAATAAAACAAAGAAGTGGAATAGATGGACATTGGCTGTTTAGGTAACATTTTTAGAAGTTGTGGTTTAAGAATCACTATGCAGTTCTATCAGTGACGCTCAAATCTAACGTACAACTTACTGTCTATTCTCACCTGCTTCACACTCAGCAAGAGACACACAGTAGACTCCAGAAGTCCCTACTAAAGAAGAACCTTGAGAGTACTAAAATGGTGGACTATGACAGTGTGTATATGACAGTTTGTTCAACCAAAGATACTTGGTAAAAAAAAATGGCATACTCACTGATCGACTGCAGATAAACATTCTCAACCAACCATTTGATGATTTGATCCTTTCTGACCCTAACAAACCAGAGGAACATTCAAAAAAAAAACGGAGTCTGGTTAGAAAAAGGTACTCATTTATTGAACATGAGCATATCAGCAGATCAGCCCACACACAAAGCATCAGACCCATCACAATCACTCACTGTCAGTATTTACAGATAGGCACATTCACAGTTGCTTTAGATCCTGACCACAGCGCCGACACGAAGATCCAAACATGTGGAAGGAACGTCAGCCTCGTTTAACCATGGGCCGCCTCGCCTCGCCCTCATCTAACACTAAACTACTTCAGTTCAGTCCTGCGGTTTTGTTTAAAGGTTTTAAATGTATGGCCTGAAGGTCAAACGTCATCGCCTTCAACTGATCGATCGTTGTCCTGTGACACGTTGTCGATTTAAACGTCACGTTTAATTCCTGAATAAACAGCCCGCGCCTGCTCTCTGACAGCATAACTCCCAATGTTTTGAAACTATAGAGGACAGTGAAACCGATCGGAAAAGGATGTTCCTAATATTTTGAGCAACGGGGAAGCACGTTTGAAGACCGTGTCCGCCCTTTAAAAAACGTGAGAAAACAAAAAACCCTTTTCAATAGAGCTCAACTCAGGGAACTTTTTTTATTGAACAAAAGCTTAACAGTTGATGAAGGGGAAATATATCTGAGAAAAAGAAGGGAAATAATACTTCCATTTATGACAAGCCAACAGACTTGTTCTCCCAGCAATGAAGTGCTCAGACTTTATCTTTTGACTAAGTGTATAAAAAAAAAAAAAAAAAAAGACAACAGGAACAAAAGGAAAAAAGTCAACAATTTGTTGTCAAAAATCCACATCCTTCATTTGGAGCCGGTTCCTGCACAGACCTGTTAATGGACGAGGAGGTGATGGAGGTGAGGATGCAAGAACGCAGCAGGTCACGCGTCACTGAGACATGAAGGAAATGCTAACCCCCCGCTCCCCTCCCCAAAAAAAGTTCATTACAGTTAAACTAACAAAAAGAAATAAATATTCAGTCTTTAAGTATAAAAAAGTGGGCTTTAGAGGAAGCAGAAGTTTTCAAGCTGAAGATTCCTGTGGGTGTTTTTTTACTACGTCTGAAAATAACTGCCTTGTGTTCAAAGATATATATATATATATATGTACATGTAGTAACTACGACCCAATCTGGGTTCCAAAGGTACATACGTAATGCTACATGGCATGAATAAAGGTTTTTTTTTTCTCCTCATGTCCTTTTAAGAAACGCAGCATGTTTAAAGGCATTTCTTTTTCACCCTGCGCCACAGAATCAGGCAGATGAGAGACGACCTGAGGTTTTCGTCCTCTGTCCACAGAAGTCTCCACTCTTCGGTAGCTGAAGTTGAGGTGAACACGCACGCGTGGAGTGCAGCGGCTTCGGCCTGAGTGCAGAGCTGACAGA